CTCGGTTGGCTGGACTGGCAGACACACGCCTGGGGGTCTCTGGGAGTTGTTTGCTCCCTGTCTCTGGGACAAAGGCTCACTGAGCACCCTCTCTGAGCTTGCCCTGGGGAGGGGCTGAGGGGTACAAGAACACTGTGCTTTGGGTCACCAAGGGCAGCCACGGTCGGATTCCATGGGTTCTGTGTACAAAACCTGTTTTGCTCTCTGTTTCTTGTTGTTTGACATTTCAGCCACTCGATGTCTCTTGGCTTTTCCCTGCAGGAAGCAAACCTGAAGCGGGCAAAGAGAGGGGACCTGAAGGTGAGCGTGCACCGCATGGAGATCGAGAGGATCCGCTTCGTGCTCAGCAGCTACTTGAGGTGTCGGCTGGTGAAGGTAACACTGGCTCTGCAGCCCAGGGGGGAGAAAGGGGCACTGCTCAAAAGGAGGGATTCTTACCCATGCAGGGCCTCTTCCTTCAGCAAGATACTTAGTTAAAGCATGTTCTCTCCCTGTTCTCCGAAGTGCAGCCCAAGGGAATGAATTCTTTGGGCACACGCCCTGTGGTGGTGAAGGGAGATCACAGTAGTGTTGGTCACAACACTGTGAGTGTTGTTTCCTTCACCTAAGCCCAGAGTGGCACAGTTGAGTGCTTGCCCATTCTGCCTGAGCCCTGCCATTGCACATGTGGTTGTACAGCCTGGCTGGTGTCCCAGTTTGTTCAGGAGTAGGGATTTAGGCTGGCCTGTGGCTGCTCATGCAGCTGCTTGTAGGGGAAGCCAATGGAGAGTGGGGATTTGGGCACTGAACTCTTGGGAGAAGTCTGTATCATTCTTTTGGATTTTGTTCCAATATCAGATAGAGAAGTTTTTCCCCCACATCCTGGAGAAGGAGAAGTCTCGAGCTGAAGGGGAGCCCTCCATCCTGTCACCAGAGGAGTTTGCTTTTGCTAAAGAGTGAGTAGGTTTTCCAGGCATCTTCCTCCCTTTTTGTAGATTACAGAACTCCCCTGTGTGTTATGCTGAACAGTTCTTGAGACTGAGAGCCGTAGACAGGTCTGAAGTAAGGATCAGTGTGTTTTACCAGGAGTTTTCCTTAGGGGCAAGAAAAGAGAGCTGAAACAAAATAACCCTGAGTCAGTTAGTTACCGGGGTAAACCAAGGGGCCTGTCTCTGGCTGTGCCTGTGGGACCAGGGGCTGTTGCTTGCTGGCAACAACAGCACTCTCCCTGCAGATTTGTGTTCCATTGAACCAGTCAGTGCTCCAATGGTTTGTTCCAGGTACATGGCGAACACAGAGGCTTACCTGAAAAACGTGGCCCTAAAACACATGCCACCCAACCTGCAGAAACTGTCTCTCCTAAAATCAGGTGAGTCCATCCAGGTCGAGCTGAAAATTGTAGTGCCAGGGCAAAGTGTGGGAGCCCAGAATGTGAGGGCCTGTCCTCCAGCTGCTGCTCAGGAGAAGCAAAGATGATGTGCTGACAGTGCTGTAACACAGCTCCATGCTGCTGCTGGAGGGTCCTGCTGTGCCCTGCTCTGCAGTCCTGCCTTGCCCTGAGGCAGGGCACACGTGTGCTCAGAGGTGTCTGGGGTTCCCTTTGCTGTGCCCTGCTCTGCAGTCCTGCCTTGCCCTGAGGCAGGGCACACGTGTGCTCAGAGGTGTCTGGGGTTCCCTTTGCTGTGCCCTGCTCTGCAGTCCTGCCTTGCCCTGAGGCAGGGCACACGTGTGCTCAGAGGTGTCTGGGGTTCCCTTTGCTGTCCCTCGGACCCCTTGGTGTCCCACGGAGGAACATCAGCAGGGGCTGAGCTTGTGCTCTGAATCCATTGTGTGCAGTTCCGAAGCCCAACCTGGACTCCTTTGTGTTCCTGAGGGTGCTGGAGCGGCAGGAGAACATCCTGGTGGAGCCAGAGACGGATGAGCAGAGGTGGGTGGGCTCGTGCCCGCGCGGGTGCGGGTCGGTGTCTCGGTGGCTGGGCTGGGCTGCAGCTCAGGTGCCGCCTGTGCCCACAGGGAATACGCCATCGACCTGGAGGAGGGCTCCCAGCACCTGATCCGCTACAGGACCGTGGCCCCGCTGGTGGCCTCGGGCGCCGTGCAGCTCATCTGAGGGCAGCGGTAAGTGCAGGGCAGGGGGAGCAGCTGCCACGACCCCTCCCCACACACACAGGGCCCGGGGCTCCCTGGAGCTCCCTGTGGGGCCACCCAGGCCAGGTCCCCTCCAGGGGAAGCCAGGGTGTCCTGTGGTACCTCAGCACCTGTCAGGGGCTCGTGTTGGCCAGGGCAGGGTCCTCCCTGCATGGTCTGTGTGAGGGGAGCACCTTCTTCTGCCAGGCAGGGGGTGACACAGGGCATCTTGTAGTGTGAGTGGCTTTGCATGTGTGGTTTATAGTCTTCCTAATTAATCCATTTAGGTAAAGAAGATTCTTTCAAGTATAGACGTTAAGAGGAGGCTGGGTTTAATCCTTAGGAATCAGTAGCACATTCCCCAGGAAGGGGGGATGTGGATTGTGCCCTGCCTGTATTTACAGCCAGACAGCTTCACAGAGGTGACTGGAGCTCCCAGCCAAAGTCCTCGTTAATCTGCTGCTGCGGGAGCGTGCTCCAGGGATCTGCCTGAGCACTGTCTGGGTGGCACGTCTGGCAGCTTTCTCCTTGGCCCTATTCACTTTGACTGAACACTAGTCCAGACAGCCCGTGCTTGCCACCACGCTGCATCTCACGTGGCTGCTGCACTGCAAGCATGAGTGGCACTGTCCTCTTCTAGCAGCTGAACCTCAGCTGACCTGGTGGTATCCAGAGTGCCTTTGGTGCAGCTCCTCTCTGGAGCCTGGCAGCTGGCACACAGCAGTGTCCTCACAGGCTGGGCAGGAGAGTGGACATGGCTGGTAGGCTGAGATCACTCAGGCTCCAAGTGAGAGTCAGTTGTGGCACACCTGAAAATGCTGCTACCTGCTCTTGTGTCCTTCCATGACTAAATACTGGGACAGCTCTGGAACTGCTAACACTGCACCTCTGTTCTGTCTGTGCTGGGGGAAGGAGGTGTGTCCACAGCTTTGTCGAGAAAGTGATGGTTTTTAGCTTGTGCTTTTAGGCAGAGAAGATGCAGCACTGCATGCACCTTAATCTGTGCCACTGGGAGAGACTGGGCAGAGTGAGAGTGGCTTTCACAGGGCCTGCTGTAAAACTTGGGCTCAAATATGTTCCCTGTTCCCTGCTCCCCCCGGGTGAGATGGCTTTGGTTTGCTGAGTGATTAGCTCTGAATGCAGAGTAGGTAGATGGTGAAAGAGGTCGCAGGGAGGGCACTGATGGTGAGCTGTGATTTCCCTGCCTGAGCCGGATCTGCTCTCCCAGGGTCCAGAAAAAGGTGGGGCAAATGGTTTCCTTGCTAGGAAGGCACTTTCAGATGTTCTGCTGACAGGCTGGGGCTGAACAGCAGGTTTTTACCAGCCGAGCACTGGGTTCAGCCTCACTTTGGTCATGCCATGAGTGGTGTCTTGCCTTGTACTGCAGACATTCAGACACGGTGGTGATGAAAAGCCGTGTAGAAATACTGATAGGTCGGTCAGTTGTGTCATGAGCTGATGAAAATCTGTACTGTCAGCAGGAACAATCAGGGCTGCTTAACATAAATGGCTAGACAGCTCTGGGGAGATTAGCAGGGAGTACAGGGCAGGGGTGATCTGATTTAGGTGACAGTCTTTAGTGTCAAGGAGTCACATGTGAGCTGAACAGTGAAGGTGATTTTGAATATAAATGTCAGGGACACCACAGTGCTCAGGTGTGAGCAAATTTCTTTCTCAGTGCACACAACTAGGGTAAGAAGCTTCTGAGGATGAGCCCAGGGTCTGGGTTTTTCTTTGTTCTTAGACACCCTGGAAATAGCTGTCTTTGGACAGGCACCTGAAAAGGGATTACAAAGCCCTTCTGAGCCTCCCCCATTGAAGACAACGTGAGAGGAACGTGCTCCTCTTCCTCCCGGTGCTGGCAGTTCTTCCAGGAGCCCTCGCGTTTCTCTGGCACCAGGAGCCCTTCCCGTGCCGTTCCCC